TTCCTTTGGACTGTTGGACACAGTGTCGGGCTGTGGAGCGCACGCGACGAACACCAGTAGTGAAGACGAGTGCAGGAGTGCCTTCACACCCAACACATTCCACAACAGGTTTCACAGGTGTTCTCGCGTCACGTGTTCGGTGCTGGGCTTCGGACGCCACGGAGACGGCCGCGCAGTCACGACCGGCACGACTCTCTCCCACAAGCGGCAAACAGCGTCTCATCAACGGTATTGTCTGCGTTGGGGGCGAACTTCCGTCCGCTAACGAGTGGCGCCACGAGGAGGCCGGAGCAGTCACGAGCGCTCAGCAAAATAAATAAAGAGTTTGTCCGAAGGGCGAGCGCCGTAATTGTTGTGTTTTTCCACATAAAGCCTGACTTCTGTTTAAAGAGAGTTTTGCCAAAGAATGCTCTAATTATGGGTTTCGTTATTGTTTTGTTTAGAAGAGATGTTTAACCGAAGCAAAGCCACAGCGAAGTCGTCGAATGATGTCCAGCCGATGTCGGGAGAGGTGTGGGCGCTCGGCGTGTGCTATTATTATGGTCGCCTCCACCGCTTCCCCTACCCATTGGCAGCCACGCCCACGGAGGCCGAGATGAAGCCCGTCCACAAGAAGATGATGGCCAACACGTGTCACGAAGACATGGCCGGCGTTCCGCCCCTCCTTCAAGAGCTACTCAAACTAATGCTGGAGAGAAAGGTGGAGAAGCGGTTCACCATTGGCGCCGTTCTCGGCCACCAGTGGTTTAAACAATAGGTAACACTGTTTACGATTCTCGCACTTGAACTCACTTTCGCCGCAAACCCTAGAATCGCCACTTCGTCCTCGCGCTCGCCCTCTCCTACCTGTTGACGACGCGCGACGACATTCGGCGCCGAAAGACGACAACAATCAACGAATTAATGATGACTTTTAAATTACTCTTCACTCGAATCTTATTTAGTGTTTTTAACTCAATGTTTGTTTTACTCTTCGCTTTCGAACGAAATCCAAAGGAAGACGAGAATAGAATCGGAAACGAGTTTCGAAGCGTTTCTCATTCTTCTGTCGAACGAAATGGACTTAAAGTCAATTCATTTGTCGCAAAACGACGACATTTTTCCGCAATTATTATCACTTATCAGACATTTGGTGACAGAAGAGGAAGAAAGAGAGACTTTTATATTAAGCGACGAATTATTCGATTCCGAAATGAATTCAATTCTTTTGAACGAAAGTTTGGAGTTTTGTTTGCATTTTGGAAACAGTTTTAATCCAAAACTTGTGCTAAAAAAAGTGAAATTAGTGTCAATTCTCTTCGACTTTGGTTTTATCGACATTTGTCTCCAATATTTGCCGCAATTGAAGACATTCTCCGAGAATCTAATTATTAGACGAATTATCTATGAATTGGAATCGCGTTTCGATAGAGACGTCGTTTGAAGTGAAACTCACTCTCTTTTCATTAATATAATTATTGAATTAGTGATCAATATATAACTCACAGCTAATTGTCACCAAACGGTTCCCACACTTCGAAGACACTCATTAATCTAATTCATAATCTTTTCTATATTAATCTTATAATTTAAATGATTTATGTTTTGCTCATTATTATCATATCAAGAAGCAAAACCATTGTTGCCTTAAGTGCGGTCAAGAGTATCGCAATTTTGGCCAAACTATGTCCAAAATAAATGTATGTTCAGTCAAATGGCGCTCAATGTGGACAACAGTCACATTCCTCTCAATTGTGATCCGCGAGAAGACAATCAATATTCTTCTCTGTCCTCAAAGTCAGCCGCTTATGGATCCGACGGTCAGAATATATGTGGGAATCAAGCGTTTCGATTATGGCCATCGCTTTGAGCCCATTTTTGGTGAACCGAAGCTCGAAGACCTGTATTTGATGTCCAATTGTTATTATATGTATTTGACAGACAAACGGTTCCCGAAGACGGCTTTCTATCACTTTGAGCCCATTTTTGTGATTAAATTACGATAATTTTTATGCAAAACTTTGTAATGATTTTGGCTTTTCTTATTTGTTTCTTTCATAAAATTGTTTTATTAGTTAATTGTTTGTGATTTAATAGTTTTTATAATTTGAAAATTTTTTAACGAAACTGTTTTATATAATTAATAATTAGTTTTTTAATTACCAATTGAAAACTTTCTTAAAAGAGTTTTCGAATTTTTCAATACTTTATAAATATTTCCGAAATTAAAGGAAAAAAGTTTTCATAATTAAAAAATTCAATGAAATAAAGAATTCAAAAGTGAATCGAATCTCAATTCTTGTCTCGAGAGTCGATTCCAAATCAATCAATCATTGCTTCTTCAGGAATGTCTTCTTCCGAGTCTTCGTTCTCTTCTTCTTTGTCTTCATTTTATTCCAATTTTCTGCAATTGTTTCAAAACTTGTTTCCATTTCTGTCTTCAAAAAATGCATTCATTTATTCCAAAGTTTGTGTTTCACTTGTCGTCCGCGCGAGCGCTGTGTTCGCACTCCTTTCTGAGACCTCTTCTGTCGTCTCTTCGGAAACTGTTTCCATCTTTCGGTCGAAAGTTTCGTTTTTATTCCAATTTTCTGCAATTCTTTCGAAACTAATTTTTCTTCTCTTCTAATTTGCATTGACGTCAAAGTTTGGCAAATAATTAATTCATTTTCGACAATAAAAGCATTTATTCATTGAAAGAGTTTCGAATCGAAAGTCAAATAATCTCTGAAACCGACGACTCTTTCGGTCAACGCTTTGATCGAAAACGCGTTCGAAAACACCGTCGGATGACGAGTCACGTGATCAGCGCCGCCGCAGCCGTACTCGTAGTTCGCGAAGCCCGACAAATACCACGCGCTCGCCGACGACAGACACATCAGCGGCCGTCCGATCGCGACGCAGTGTCCGCGCGCGCGCTCGGCGCAGAAGTGGCGCGGCGTCAACGCACCCGCGAAGTGCTGTCTCGCGTTGCAGACGCCGCTCTCCAGCACTCGGAACGCCGTCTCTGCGGCGAAACACGTGATCGACGTGTCGATGGGGTGCGAGGGCAGACACGTCACTCGCGGCATCGGCGCGCGCACGCGCACGAACGCGAAGTCAAAGTCGGGCACTCGCGGCGACCGGAAGTGCGAGAAGCGGAAGTGAGTGTGCATTCGCTCCACAGTCGTCGCGTTGTCCACAGAAATGTCCGAAACGTTGTTTCCAAGAGTTCTGCAGAAGAGAATTGGAATTAGAAGAAGAAGAATCTCTCTCTGCGCTCACGTCAAACAGCGCGCGCTCGTCAGCAGCCAATGCGCGGCCACGGCGTGCGCCCAACACTCGTTGCGGCCGTCGCTCACGCGCAGCGCTTTCGGAACGCCTTCTCCGGTCTCGCACTCGAAGTGTCGGCAAAACACGGAAACCGACGATTCGTTCGAATTACAAAAGGAGTCGTTCTTGAGAGTGAAGTTGAGAACTGCTTCTCTGCCGAAGCGCCGACAGAGGGCGTCGCCGTCGCTGTCGCCGAAGCCGTTGCCGACGCACAGCGGAAACCACGTGTCGTTTCGGTTCCGAAACACGAATCCTTTTTCGTCGCTTTTCACTGAAAGGCAAGAAAAGTCGGTTAAAAGACGACACGAGAGACGACACGCGACGACAGCACTGACGACACGACAACTCGTCGCTGTTGTCGCCGCAATCGTCGACGTCATCGCAAACGCGGCGCCTCTCGACGCACGCGCTGTTGTCGCAGCGGAAGGCCGCACACGCGTCGTCGCACGCGCGCTCGTCCGTTCCGTTCAGACAGTCGTCGACGGAATCGCACTTCAGATTGGAATCGATGCAAAGTCCGGAATCGCAGAAGAATTTGCCCAAAGCCTCGCACTTCTCGCGATTCACTGCAAAGAGAAGGAAGAGTCAAACACGAAGACAAGAATCACTTCTTACCGCAGTCGCGCTCGTCGCTGCCGTCGTCGCAGTCGCGCTCCCAATCGCACACCTGCCGGCCTTCCAGACACTGTTTGCGGTTCTCGCACTTGAACTCGCTTTCGCCGCAAACCCGCGAATCGCACATTAGTTCGTCCTCTCCGCCCGCGCAGTCCCACAGGCCGTCGCAGCGGCGCTCGCGCGACACACACGCGCTTCCATTCCCGCACTCGAACTCATTGTCAGAACAATTCAGAAAACTTTTCGAAACATTTCTCGTGTCGTCATTCATGACGTCATTTGTGGTCAGCATTTCTGACGGAATAGAAGAAAGTGTCGTCGAATCAAAAGTTTCATTTCTTCCGTTCTCTTCTTGCGCTCCGATTGTCGTCTCGTTTCCCGAATTCGGCGCTTCTGTCGTCTCTTCTGTCGAAACCACAAGTGTTTCCGTCTTTCGGCCGAAAGTTTCGTTTTTATTCCGTTTTTCCGCAATTCCTTCGAAACTCATTTCTTCTTCTCTTCTGATTTCCATTTCTATTCTTGTCGTCCTTTCGGTCTCTTCCGTCACGTGATCCGCGGTCTGAGCGCCGGTCGTCATGACAACAGTGGCATTGGTCGCGTCTGAAAGCGAATCGAAACTCAAAACTCGAAATTCGAGTCAAAAAACTCACTTTCGGTTCGAAAGAGACTCGAAATGGAAATCGAAACCAGAATTCCGAACAAAAGGCCGAAACAGAAAACGCAGATTTTGCTGCAAATATCGCGACGACAACAATGTCTCAACATTTCACTCAATGTCACGCAAAACAGGTTTTCACGCGATTTCAACACTCGATTCACTTTCTCTCAATTTTCCTGAAACTCGCGATTCGTTTCTATTGTTTTGTAATTTTACTCTTTTTTGGTTTCATTTTTCTTTCTTTTTCTCGTTTTTCAATAAAAACCTCTTTTTCTCGCATTTTATCCAAAATTTTACACAATTTTCGATTTTATGCCAAAACTGAGAAATCATTCGAAAAATGAATTTCGAATTCTTCTTCGAAATCTTCAAAAAATTCTTCTTTTGATTCGAAAACTGAATCAAAGATTGAATTCGTTGCGAATCTCTGCGAGAGATGTCTCTCGCGTTCCACTCGACAAAACATGCCTTCTTAGGCGCGTTCGCAACAAGCGTTACGCTTTCATTCCAAACGCCGACCCCTGCCACAGAACACTGCTCGCACCCCACCCCCACTCTGGCGTCACGCCGTTCGCGAACGCATTCACTCCTTATAAAGAACGCGATGTCAGTGCAAAGCCTTCTCTCCGTTTCGGGCTCTCGAGTCTCGGGAAACTCTGTGCGCACGCAAAACGGTAACCAAACCATGACAGCTCTTCCCATCACTAACACTCCCTCTCCCTCTAGTGATGGCGGCGGCCGCGATCGCCAACGTGGTCAAGTCGTCGCTCGGACCGATCGGATTGGACAAAATGCTGGTCGACGACATCGGGGTTTGTACCTGACCTTTGACCCCGCAATACTGACCCCCGCCCTCTCCCGCAGGACGTGACCATCACCAATGACGGCGCCACCATTCTGGGCCTGTTGGAAGTGGAGCACCCGGCGGCCAAAGTGCTCGTCGATTTGGCGCAACTCCAGGACCAGGAAGTGGGCGACGGCACCACTAGTGTGGTGAGCGGTGTGAAAGACTCTCAACTCCCGTCAACTTTGACTCCTTTCTCGCCCCCAATGGAGACGAGTCTATAGAGCGGGAGACAGCGAACGCGCCAATCAGAGCCCCTCTCAGCGATCACGTGACTAACGCTGTGTTTCTCTTTCTGGCCGACAGGTGATGATAGCGGCGGAGTTGTTGCGCAACGCGGACCAATTGGTGCAGAACAAGATCCACCCGACCTCCGTGATCGCCGGCTACCGCCTCGCGTGCAAAGAGGCCGTCAAATACATCAACGAGAACCTGACGCTCGGCAGCGACGAGTTGGGCGCCGAATGCGTGCTCAACGCCGCCAAGACGTCCCTCGCGTCGAAGCTCATCGGATCCGACGCCGACTTCTTCGCGCAGATGGTGGTCGACGCGGTGAACATCGTGCGCACGAGCGACGGCAAGGGCGGCCATTGTTACCCCATCAAGGCCATCCGCGTGTTGAAGGCCAACGGGAAGTCGACGCGCGAGTCGCAGCTCGTGCGGGGCTTCGCGCTCAACTGCATGATCGCCACTCAAGGTAGTGTTGATTGTCACGTGATCCCCGCTAACCATCTCTGTGCGCAGGAATGCCGAAGCGCGTGACGGGCGCGAAGATCGCTCTGTTGGACTTCTCGCTGCAGAAGGCGAAGTTGAAGCTGGGCGTGCAGGTGCTGGTGGACAAGCCCGAGAACCTGGAGGCCATCCGCCAGCGCGAGCAGGACATCACGAAGGAGCGGCTGCAGAAGATCCTGGCGGCGGGCGCCAACGTGATCCTGACCAGTGGCGCCGTCGACGAGTTGTGTCAGAAGTACTGCGTGGAGGCGCGCGTCATGGCTGTGCGCAGGTGCCGCCGCGTCGACCTGAAGCGCATCGCGAAGGCCACTGGGGGGACATTGTTGCTCTCGTTGGCCAACATGGAGGGCGAGGAGTCGTTCGACGCCTCCTTATTGGGCGAGGCCGAGGAGGTGGCGCAGGAGCGCGTGTCCGACGACGAGCTCATCCTCATCAAGGGGTCAGTATTGCCACTGTTCCACTCCGGCCACTGACCACTCTAACACTGTTTAGGCCGAAGAACGGCAACTCGGCGTCCATCGTGTTGCGCGGCGCCAACGAGTTCTTTCTGGACGAGATGGAGCGCTCGCTCCACGACTCGGTGTGTGTCGTGAAGCGCGTGCTCGAGTCCAAGCGCGTGGTGCCGGGCGGCGGCGCAGTCGAGGCCGCGCTCTCCGTCTATCTGGAGACGTTCGCCACGACCATCGCCTCAAGGGAACAGCTGGCCATCGCCGAGTTCGCGCACTCCCTCCTCGTCATCCCGAAGACGCTGGCCGTGAACGCGGCGAAGGACGCGACGGATCTGGTGGCCAAACTGCGCGCGTACCACAACGCGGCGCAACACAAGCCCGACCACAAGCATCTGAAGCACTGCGGTCTGGATCTGGTGGAGGGCGTGGTCCGCGACAACGTCAAGGCCGGCGTTCTCGAGCCCTCGGTCTCGAAGATCAAGGCGTTGAAGTTCGCGACGGAGGCCGCCATCACGATCCTCCGCATCGACGACCTCATCAAACTGCAGGCCGCGCGCGACGACTACGGCGGTGGCGGCGGTTGCTATGGCGACGACTAGTTGTCAACACTTTCTTTTGAAGTTTCAATAAAATAACGATTCGTTTGAATATTGTTTCTATTTTTTTGATTCTGTTTTACGAGTATTTTGTTTTTTTGATTCAATTTGTGTTAACAATGAGTACGAGTGCGACATCTGTTGAGCGAAACACAGAATCCGTGTTTCGTCAGTCGAACACCAGTTGTGGACAATGAGAGACATCTGGCGTTGAAATGCAGAACCAATTGAATTGCGAGACAATCACCAGATGTCAGGAGTGAAGCCTTAAAGGAATTAAACGCAAAGTTATAAAACAAGTGATTTAAGTGACCGTCCATTACGACCAATACGGACGCTCTTTAGGCACCGCTGAGCTCTTGTTTGAGTTGAAATTCGATGCCATGAAAGCCATGAATCAGTATAACGGCGTTCCCCTCGACTGTGACTCCAACTGAGCTTTAGATATCACTAATCATCTGATGTCTATTTGATCCGTGGTTTAGGCCGTCCAATGAGAATACGAGAAATCGGCGCAAAGAGAGAAGAATCGCAGAGTGAAGGCAGTGGTGGTGGCGGTGGAGGAGAAGTGGCGGAAATAGAGGCGGAGGTCGTGGCGGCCGAGGAGGCGGTGGACGCGGAGGCGGTCGTCAGTCGAGACGTAACTCAAGAGGATTTGGATAAAGACTTGGATTGAATGGAAACTTCAATTTTATTAAAGTATAACTAGCCTATTACCCGTCCTGTAACCATTATATTTTGAGCAATTACATGACCCTGTTCTCTCAAATCTACGCTGCCCAACCCTACCTGCATACCTAATTTGAACAAAACCTAACTTAACCTAACCTAATATAACTTAACCATTATAAAGTGGCAATTTAAAATTGCAAGTTATAACGCGTTGAAACAATTGACTTGGCGTCATAATACCGTGGTATCCCTGGATAGATTTCCCGAGGCATTGGTTATCCACGGGAGGCTTGGGTACATTGTTTATGGCGTTAGTTATATCTGGGAGGCCTGAGTACATTGCCCGTGGCATTGGTTATACCTGGGAAACTTGGGTACGGTGCCCAACACGTTGGTTATACCTGGGAGGCTTGGGTACATTGCCTGTGGCGTTGGTTATAACCAATACCCGTAGGTAACTTGGGCAGGTTATTGGTTATTGCCTGAAACCCGTTAGTACATTGCCCGAATAGTTGGTTATAGCTGGGAGACGTAGATACTATACCCAATCTCTGGGCACATTGGGTAGATCATTGGTTATAGCCTGCGTCTCGTTAGTACATTGGCCGAGGCGTTGGTTATAGTTATACACCCGTTTGGCTGCCCCGGCCATCATAAGCACCGTATTAGGTGAGGGGATGTTTAAAATTATTTACTTTGTCTTCTCAATGGGAATTGTGGCCAACAATCACAGTCCCTCGCGCTTGCAATTTGGGCCCAAAAACCGTTTTTACAACAATGAAAATCCCCGCGCGCTCGCATTTTCGGTTAAAAAATTAATTAATTAAATCAAAAACCATTGTTGCATGCACTGCTTTTAATTGTTAGTGGATTTTCCACAGAATTAATTTAATTAATATATAGGATTTAAAATACATTTTAACATCGATTTCTTAAGACTTATTTTTTGTCCACAATTTATACTCTAATTATTAATAATTATTATTTAGAAATACATTTTAAATCGTAACTTTCACGCCATAAGTCATATTTCAGAGCATTTAGTATTAAATAAACAAAACAACATTTATAAGTAATAAATGCATGATTTTTTTGTCATTAATTTTGGATTCTGTTTAACAATTCATTTGATGTAAAGTTGTTGTGATTTACTCGATGTTCTCAAAGTCTAAAAACACTTCCAGTGCTCTAACGTTAATAAGTGAACATTTTTGTGGCAATTCTTTCGTTAGACCCGAGTATTGGCTTTTATGACTCTTCACGTATTCTTCAACAGATCCGCGTTTCTTGGCGTTTAAATGAAACAATTATTGGGACAATGAGTACGAGCGCGACATCTGTTGTGCGAAACACAGAATTTGTGTTTCGTTAGTCGAACACCAGTTGTGGACAATGAGAGACATCTGGTGTTGAAATGCAAAACCAAATGAATTGCGAAACAATCGCCAGATGTCAGGAGTGAAGCCGTCAATGAATTAAACGGAAAGTTATAAAAGTAGTGATTTAATGATTTCAATTACAAAAAATCAGATCCAAATCAATCGCACCGGCAGTCAGTTAGTCAGTCCCCTCTCCGCCCCTCTTATATGCCATTGAAATAGATATAAATTATTTAAATGAAACAACAAAATGAAAGAACTTGCCAAATTGTAATTACATTTTTTCCCATTCATTCACTATTTCTTGTATACAATTATCTGATTGATTGCATTCTTATATCATATTATATCTACTTTTTCTAATCAATACAAAATTGGATTAATTTCTGGCAGAAAATCAACAATAAAACAAAGTTTTAATGATTGAAATTAAATGTAACCAATCATTGAGTCAATTAATTGGCTAATTGTAAAAATATTTATCTAATCATTAGTTAATCCTAATTTAGATTTGTTTATAATAAACATAACTTTATTATAAAGTTATCGAAACATTTATTAATGTATTATTTTTATAGAATATATAATTTTAATTTTTTATAAATTACATTATAAGCGATAATATTTGATATTATAGTTAAATATTTAAATGATTGCAAAGCATTAACTAAATTATACAAATGTAATCTATATTTAAGTTTTATCTTTAAATTTGATTTATTTTTTGTTGATTTTTATTACGATTCTTAATACTTATTATAATATATCATTGAATTAATAATTTGATTGCAAACTCACGACAAAGGCATCAATTTTGCAATTTTAATGTGAAATTCAATTTCTCTAATAATACGTTCGCATAGAATATGTGTTAAATTACAACCGAAACCATGAATTACTTAAAACATTAGTTTATTATATATTCAACAAATAGTCTTATAATTCAATTTTCACGAAACCCTTTTGGATAACTCCTGATAACAATGAAATCAATGGTTAATTGCATTCATAGCACTTATACTGTATATCATGTGGTGATTACAGATTGAATACAAATTATCATAATTTTGTGACTGATTTTAATTTGTATTGTCATTAATGAACACAATTTATTATTTTTACGTAATCTTCAGATTTGGATAATTTAATCCATTTATTTAAATGAGTGATCTATTGAATACAAATTATCATAATTTTGTGACTGATTTTAATTTGTATTGTCATTAATGAACACAATTTATTATTTTTACGTAATCTTCAGATTTGGATAATTTAATCCATTTATTTAAATGAGTGATCAATTGAACGAAGTTTTATTTTTAGATTTTCTAAACATTTAATTACAAAAATCTATTCAAAAATAATTATTTAGTAAAAAACAATGGCATAAATGAATCACAAAAACCATAATCAAGTGTTTATAAGAATTTATTACTAAATAAATATACAATTCGTGAATGAAATGAGAGAGAAATTGTGGTCAAAGAAACAAAACGTTAAAACATAAACGCAAACAACAAAATGATAACAAAAAGTAATTAAAAATAACTTTTGATGTATTGTTAGACCATTTGTTAAACCATTTCCCAACCAATGATTTTCTTCTTGATGACACCCGTGCGGGTTTGGCCATCACTGGCGCTAACCCAAGTGACGCTCACATTGTCCAATCTGTCCAACGCTGTATACATGGTGTGCAGGTCTACCACCCGTTTGTTGTCCACATGTGTTATCACATCAAAGCGCTGCAGATCTGCGTTACCGCTATATAACCAATGCATAGGAAATCACTAATTATGCCTTCAAATGATAGTATTCTAGCCATACGTTCTGTCGAAGTCTATATCCGTACCCCAGACCAGAATACCCGGGAATTGTTGAGGAATGGCCTTCTGCTCACTCACGGCGTACTTATTGTAGTCATTGTAAGTGCTTTGGTCTAAGAGATGGATCAGCGCTCCGATCGACTTCTCTTTGGGCGTCACTCGAAATGAGCCGAATTTGGATTCCCGTGAAAACACATACGCTGTGAATGCAATCAACTCATTAGTGCTCTGTTCTAGTCATGGCTTTACACGGAGGGCACCGGTAAGCGGTGTCCGCCGACACCACCCAATATACAAACACATACCGAGTATATAATCGACGGGAAGACAGAAAACAGTGTTGCGCGCGGTTTGAGTGACATTCATGCCGAGCAGTTCTCCCTTGTTGTCGACGAGAGCGCATCCCGTGTCGCCAGAGCTGACGGCCGCCGTGTGTTTCCAATAGGTGTGTTCGGACTGACAGAGCGGTCCGTTTCCGCCCTTTTTGGGTGCGCCAGCGATGATGCCTTTGGTCACACATGTGTGGTAATCAAAGCGCGGATTCGTCACGGCGTACACCACGTGACCGGCGGCCACTACTCTCACGTCTTTCACGTCGGGCACATCGCTGTCGCTGGCGGACGCCTTGGATAGCGCTTGTCTCCTGCGATCGTCGACTTGTGGTAAGTGGACGACCGGCCACTCGCCGCCGCTGCCGAACACGTTGTCTTTGGGCGGCTGTTGATCGATGAGTTGGATGAGCGCCAATCCCTGGACGTAGAAGCGGTCGGACACTCGCGCCGCGAACTTCCTGTCGGAGCCCCGGAATCGGACGTAAACTTCGGAATAGTTGCGCACCGTTTGAGTGGTCGTCACAATCACTCCACTCTTGTCCACAATAAAGCCGGAGCCGAGCATATGGTTGGGTCCGTCGTATGGCTTCTCTATAGTCTTCGTGAACTTCACTTGAATGATAACGTGTGGCAACAGATTCTTGTCGGTCGCGAACTGCGGTGTACTCGTCGCCAGTGAGCAGTTCCTGAGGGCCGGCCATCCCATCGACCGACCCATTGCTGGCCACGAGTGTTGCGCCGATGACTGAGCGGTCGTACGCCTCCTCCACGACCACAACCCGAACCCTACGATCGGAATCGCTGTTACCATCGATGGACTGTTTGATTGGCAAAAGAGATTAAACAATGATTGGTGTGTTTGAAGTGATAATGAGATCAAATGCCTACCAATTAGTGATAGAATGAGTGAATGCGAACATGTCTTCGAAGTGTGGGAACCGTTTGGTGACAATTATCTGTTGTGTGAGTTGTGGTAAATATTGTCCGACTTTTTGCGTTCAAATCGATAAACACTTAACGAAAGAATGGTTTGAAATGAATTGTGACAACAATTCACTTCTCGAGACATTTTGTGCACTAATTCTTGCATTCAATTCAATAATAGTTATGTTTTTTTTGGTAACAGTTTTCAGCAATTTTTTCAATTAGTTTTTTGTGTACAGAATCTGAGTCTGAGTTTAGTGTCGCGAATGGGGTTCACTTCGAGGCATGAGTTGTGACCACAATTGGGATAAAGCCTCAACGCTAGGAAATCATCCAAAATTATTGCCTTATATTCTCAATCAGATTAATTGAATATTGAAAAACTAATTGCAATTTTTATACAATTCTTGTAACTATCAATAAATTGTGGATAAAATCACAATTTTATCATATAATTTCGATAATGTATTTTTCTCATATTTTTTGTTATTTTGTAAATAATTAATAAATTTTTCAGTAAATTAATAAAACATAATTTAAGAATACTGTATACTTAAACTCGAGTAACATTTATACAAATTGATAAAATATAAAATGCGAATTATGTAAAGTTCATAAACTTTCTGTTAGTCAAAATCGAAGAAAATTCTTGGTTCAAAACATTTCCAGAATATGACTGAACCTTAAAATGCATTCATTTTTAGTATAAAACTAAACACTTTTTGGTGTAGAGTCAGAGTTGAGGAAAATTCTTGGTTCAAAACATTTCCAGAATATGACTGAACCTTAAAATGCATGCATTTTTAGTATAAAATTAAAACACTTTTTTGCCGTATAATCAGAGTTGAGGAAAATTCTTGGTTCAAAACATTTCCAGAATATGACTGAACCTCAAAAAGCATTCATTTTTTGTATAAAATTAACACTTTTTGGTATAGAGTCAGAGTTGAGGAAATAATTTGAAAATTTGTGCATTTGTGAATAGAGTGCTCAACTGTTCTGATTTACAAATTAAAAGTGTTTAAATTTAATAATTACAATAAAATTATTTTAATTTGCAATAAAGTTTCAAACAGTGGTTAAAACAAATAGATGTTTATTATTGTAATATATTGCCATTCATTTAATATAATTAATTAAATACTTATAAAATAGTAAAACAACTCTCAATACAAACAATACTACAAACAGAATATCTAAAATAGAAAAATAAATTTCCATTCATTTATATATAAATGTAACTATAGTTTAAAATAATGTCATATATTAAACGTTTTAATAAAAATAATGATTTAAATCTAATCCTAATTAAAGTTAAAGTGTTTTGTCGACGACTGTTGTCAGCGTTTCCTTCGTGTACTCGTAGGCGACGAAGAGAGCGCCGGTTGAGGGGAATGTCCGCAATAGAGTGGGCGTCAGACCGCTGTACAGACCCCTCACACCCTCTGTCCGTACGATTCGCATCAAAACAGTAACCAATTTGTCGCGACTCGACTCGATCTGAATGCGAGACTTGACGACATCGAACGGGAAGATCGAAGTCCACAAACAGATGCCACCGAATCCGCCCGCGAGTATCGTCTTCACCAATCCTGACATCAATTCACAACTCATGTCAATCACAGATATGAACCTCAACTTCAAGTGACACTCAAATACCTATATTCTGTTCTTCGGGATCCTTTCGCAACACATTCTTCGCCAACTCATAGCCGCCAAAGAAGCAGAAATATCCGGGCATTTCGCGCGCCATCGTAGAGGACAGACCCCTAAACATGCCGGGAATGCCTGCAAAATGTACATTAAATTGCATTTTAATTGTCATTTAATATAAAGTAATAGATTTTCAATCGATGCAAACCTTCGTCGCGTAGTATCTGTCGCGTCAATTGAACGGAACCACTGATCAGATCATTAAAAGACAATACATATTATTAGATAAGATATAGTATTGATTGAATGATAAGTATTAGTTAACATACATATTAGTGACGCCTCCTGTTTCCCTGAGTGCCTGTAATTTGCATTTTATTAGTTCTGTCGGACATAACGTGAATGACGAGAAAAATGCGGCAAAAAATCCTAAATATCACACAAAAAACCTTATCATTAGTAAAAGAAATAGAAAAATAAGTGGACAACAAGTTTGCGGACAACAGGTATATAAACAGGAACTGAGACTGTCTCTGTACCTCACCTGTCTGGACGGTAACGCAATAGTTACCCTCATGTCCAAACGCAAACAGAGTGTATTGTGTGGCAAACGACTGTCTTTGGCATCCGTGTCTTGTCGTGTCTTAAGAGCCGCACATTAGCGGCCAATGCGGGCGCCGTTCCCGCGTAGAGACCGCGAAACCAACCGTCCTATCAGTCAATCAAATCATTAATAAAGTGATGCAAAAGTTGTCGCAAATATTTATGGCATACCTTAAGCACTGTTTGTCGGAAACAACTCAATGTATTTTTGTATAAATGGGGAAACGTTTGCATTTTCACTTTGATTGTGTCCAACGGCTGTCCGACCAATACAGTGGCCACACCCCCTGTCAGTCACAACCAACCCGTCAATCATCACCGCAAACATCAGGGTATTAATCGATACACAGATACCAAACAAACAAATTTTGTTATCAATTGTTGAAATAAAGTTAAGGTTAAGTATAATGTGTATCACCGGCTGATCCGGCCATCAGATCGACGAATCCGATGGCCAACTGTCTGATGGTGTTGTCGGGCGAAGACATGTCAACCGAAATACTGATGATTTTGATGTCAAAGAAATGGACACAACGTTTGCGAAAGTATTAAAACACTTGAGAGAAATCACTTGACTTTCATTTGACGGCAATTGTAATGAACTTTTGAACTGAAAGTTAAAATCAAAGTTTTATTTGTCTTTTTATAACAAAAATAAAACAATTATTTATTACTTATTATTGAATATAACTGTAAAGTGAAGTGAATTGAGAGTCGAGTTCAACATTACGTTAGGATTGAATGCATTTTCAATGACAACACATGACATGACTTACATTTTCGCTACATTTTTATCGCATATTTGTATTACTTCTCAATTAGTCTCCGCTTTTAAGACGCTCTCAATATTTTCATTGATTGTATAATCGATTCATTAATTGATTATTGCTTTCAAAGAGTAGTTTGAGTTTTAAACAACTTTTAATACTTCACTACACGTGACATGTATTTACACTTACACTTGCATACAGTGTACACCACTTATACAACACCGCAACTAAATGTTTTAATTAGTTATCTGTTATAATTAAAACTTAAATATAAGTGATTTAATTATATAGTGTTTTAATTGTGTTAATTAAATACTAACAGTTTGGGTATATTATTGTGATGTAATATTTGTACATTGTATAAATTTTCATAACTGTATATAAATGTTGGGAAACTTTACCACAATCTATAAATACCATTACAATAGATGGCATTCAACGACAAAATCATTGATAGATTGAGAAGAAAAAAGTTTTCAAACTATTTGTTTCGGCGATTGGTTTCGAAATCAATGATTTTTTTTATTCGTAAATAATTTCCTAAACTTTTGTTTGGCAGACAATCAATCACTTCGACGATTGTCTCAATCGCTTCAACGCCCGGACCTCTTGTATAACAGTTTTGAGTTGTTCTCTCACTTTCTTCATCCAAGTCTTGCTCCAAGTGGTGGCGTCTGCGGAGTCCACGTCTTCGGTGTCGCCAATGTTTGCCACGACTGGTGTGTCGAAGATGTGTCCGTCATTTGTCAGCCATTTCTTGTGACTCTTCAGCGACCAAATGAGTCGGCGATAGAAACCAAAAGCCGCCGCCCAATGGTCGCTGTCCTGAGCCGTCTTCGGGAACCGTTTGTCTGTTAAATACATATAATAACAATTGGCCATCAAATACAGGTCTTCGAGATCGAGCTCCTGTTCACCAAAAATGGGCTCAAAGTGATGGCTATAAGCGATGGCTTTATCGAAACGCTTGATTCCCAAATATATTCTGACCAATTGTCGGATGCAATCCATAAGTGGCTGACTTTGAGGACAGACGTATTGAAGCAGAATATTGAGTGTCTTCTCGCAGATCACAATTGAGAGGAATGTGTTGTGATTGTTGTCCACATTGAGCGCCATTTGACTGAACATACATTTACTTGACTCTACTTTAGCCATAGTTTGGCTAAAATTGCGATACTCTTGACCGCACTTAAGGCAGCAATGGTTTTGCTTCTTGAAGGCATAGGTGAAGACAACGGGTCCGTCACAGCCATTGCACCGAATGGCCATATATTCGCGGGACTCTCGAAGACACGAATCGCAGCCGCAGTTGAAGAAGTAGTGCTTCTTTAGTCTCTGTTGGCGAGCAATGAATGGTTGGGTTCTGATTGTGGGTCCGTATGTGTGATGAATCTCTTGACCCGCTTCGATGTCTTCAGTGGCGGTCACAACGAAGTACCGATTAGTGAACCCCCAGTGGGCGTTGGGATTACACGAGTGGTTCACTAGTGATCCGATTGGGTTTATACCACTGCCTACTGTTGTCCAGTCTGGAGACGACACCCAACCGAAGACATTTGTGTTCACTTTTCGGATTAATCGCAGACAAATCACTACCAAAGAGACAAACGAATCCAACTGTCGCTCGACATCGAAGTCAATCTGTAGACTATAGTCGAAGAGAAGAGCCGTATTGATGGCGCGGATGTAATGAAAGATGTCTTCCGGCAATTCGTGTTTGTTGTGGTGATCGCTGAGAGACATGAATGCCTCGAATCTATTTAATTCTTCCTCTTCTGACGATTCAAACGGCGAATTCTGTGTTGAACTCAACTTCTGTCGGCGTTCAACGTATGGCATGATATCAATGTCTTCGCTGTTTTGTTTCAAATAATCGATTGTATTCTTGAAACCGAATCGAGAGATAATGCGAAACGTGTGGTGAGAGGAAGGACTCGATTCGTAGATATGACCGGCGATTCCGCACTCAAATCGATGGAACCCTTGATTCGCTTCTGCCATACAGTGATCGTCACAGAAGACCACTTCATCGCAAGCCATACACGGCGTGAATCGGGTGCCGATTTTGGTGTAACAATTGGCGCAATAGACGAGCTGTGAGTCCATCACTAATCCACTGTACGGTCGCTCCACTATCAGAACCGTTCCCTTTGGGATCAACTCTTTGGCGCACATGTGGCGACCCTTTTCCTTAGTTTGTCTGATTTCGCAGTTCGGATGAAGCCATAGATCGGGTCCACTGTTTGGCTTCTCTTTGGATGTGTGAGCCGTTGTCTGATCGTCGCTGGAATCGGTGTTCTCTTCGTCTGTGTCTTCATCTGATTTCAATTTCTGTGAACTTTTCTCGAGTTTGCGAATCAAAGTCTGTTTGATTGCATCGAGTCTTTGAACGGATTTGCGATCGATTGCCAATGTTTTGGCTTCAATTTTGGCCAGTATTTGGTCCATAGCGTCGACAGACTCCTGGATTCGGTCCAAATGTCTCAAACAGTAGACTCTATGCAAAAGCATTTCAAACGTTTCGCACAAATCGATGGATTTGTTTGCGTCGAAGAGCGCCAGAGAATAGTCTTCGCACTGAAAGCTGACCGCAGATCTCGACGCGTAAGCCAGCGATAGCTCGCGAGACAACGATTCGGCATTTGACGGATCGGGAGCCGACACTATCGCCTAGAAATAGATAATAATTAGTTATGGATTCAATAAAATGGTTCACAAAGTCATACATAAGTGAAGGATTCAAAGGCCGAGTGATAATTTTGATCGCCAAACAAATCCCTTCCCTGAGCCATGAAATCGCGGGTCTTTTGCAGGTCTTTGTTGTGTTCGCGACGATAATTGTCGCACTTCTCGAATAGATTGGCCCGAAATGTCTTCACCGGACATATTTGGGTCAAAATGAACGCAATCTTCTCTTCGTGTGAGTCCGACGCCAAGAATTGTGGGCTTTTAATGGCTTTTTTGTACATTTCTTCCAATTCCTCGAAATCCTCCATCTTTTAGGTCTCTTGTCTTCAGATAACTGCCAAATGTGTGCACTTTTTCCGATTCTGTATTTTGAGTCTAAAACAAACTTTTCAAAAATTTTATTCTTATGTTAAACACAATAATTGGTTTCACTTTAGTTCAACAATTTGTTTTGAAAAGTTTTATAAATAATTTTAACGCATATTTAAAAATCATTTGCAATTTTTTTTTATTTGAATGACATTTTGTTGTCAATTATTTTTCATCATAAATAATACAATTAATTAATCTATTTAATCGTTCACTTAATTCAATAGTCAATAATATTATACAATATATTTATATTAATAAAAAGGTTTTACACAAAAAATCGTTTCCATCAATAGATAGAAAAGAGTTTACATTCAAAAATCAATGAATACCTAAATTATAATNTGCGTTAAAATTATTTATAAAACTTTTCAAAACAAATTGTTGAACTAAAGTGAAACCAATTATTGTGTTTAACATAAGAATAAAATTTTTGAAAAGTTTGTTTTAGACTCAAAATACAGAATCGGAAAAAGTGCACACATTTGGCAGTTATCTGAAGACAAGAGACCTAAAAGATGGAGGATTTCGAGGAATTGGAAGAAATGTACAAAAAAGCCATTAAAAGCCCACAATTCTTGGCGTCGGACTCACACGAAGAGAAGATTGCGTTCATTTTGACCCAAATATGTCCGGTGAAGACATTTCGGGCCAATCTATTCGAGAAGTGCGACAATTATCGTCGCGAACACAACAAAGACCTGCAAAAGACCCGCGATTTCATGGCTCAGGGAAGGGATTTGTTTGGCGATCAAAATTATCACTCGGCCTTTGAATCCTTCACTTATGTATGACTTTGTGAACCATTTTATTGAATCCATAACTAATTATTATCTATTTCTAGGCGATAGTGTCGGCTCCCGATCCGTCAAATGCCGAATCGTTGTCTCGCGAGCTATCGCTGGCTTACGCGTCGAGATCTGCGGTCAGCTTTCAGTGCGAAGACTATTCTCTGGCGCTCTTCGACGCAAACAAATCCATCGATTTGTGCGAAACGTTTGAAATGCTTTTGCATAGAGTCTACTGTTTGAGACATTTGGACCGAATCCAGGAGTCTGTCGACGCTATGGACCAAATACTGGCCAAAATTGAAGCCAAAACATTGGCAATCGATCGCAAATCCGTTCAAAGACTCGATGCAATCAAACAGACTTTGATTCGCAAACTCGAGAAAAGTTCACAGAAATTGAAATCAGATGAAGACACAGACGAAGAGAACACCGATTCCAGCGACGATCAGACAACGGCTCACACATCCAAAGAGAAGCCAAACAGTGGACCCGATCTATGGCTTCATCCGAACTGCGAAATCAGACAAACTAAGGAAAAGGGTCGCCACATGTGCGCCAAAGAGTTGATCCCAAAGGGAACGGTTCTGATAGTGGAGCGACCGTACAGTGGATTAGTGATGGACTCACAGCTCGTCTATTGCGCCAATTGTTACACCAAAATCGGCACCCGATTCACGCCGTGTATGGCTTGCGATGAAGTGGTCTTCTGTGACGATCACTGTATGGCAGAAGCGAATCAAGGGTTCCATCGATTTGAGTGCGGAATCGCCGGTCATATCTACGAATCGAGTCCTTCCTCTCACCACACGTTTCGCATTATCTCTCGATTCGGTTTCAAGAATACAATCGATTATTTGAAACAAAACAGCGAAGACATTGATATCATGCCATACGTTGAACGCCGACAGAAGTTGAGTTCAACACAGAATTCGCCGTTTGAATCGTCAGAAGAGGAAGAATTGAATAGATTCGAGGCATTCATGTCTCTCAGCGATCACCACAACAAACACGAATTGCCGGAAGACATCTTTCATTACATCCGAGCCATCAATACGGCTCTTCTCTTCGACTATAGCCTACAGATTGACTTCGATGTCGAGCGACAGTTGGATTCGTTTGTCTCGTTGGCAGTGATTTGTCTGCGATTAATCCGAAAAGTGAACACAAATGTCTTCGGTTGGGTGTCATCTCCAGACTGGACAACAGTAGGCAGTGGTATAAACCCAATCGGATCGCTAGTGAACCACTCGTGTAATCCCAACGCCCACTGGGGGTTCACTAATCGGTACTTCGTTGTGACCGCCACTGAAGACATCGAAGCGGGTCAAGAGATTCATCACACATAC